CACAAGTTTTTCTATGTAACAAACCTGCACATGTACCCCAAACTTAAAAATTAAAAAGGAAGAAGTAGTGCAATTGAAGATAGATCAAAAGAAATTATGCAATTCAAAGAATGAAAAAAATGTTCGAAAAAAATGCAAACAACTTCAGAAACGTATAGGACACTATAAAAAGGTATAATATTCTTATCCTTGTAGTCTCAGAGGGAGATGAAGAGGAGACCAATGTAGGACAATAATCTAAAGAAGTAATAACCAAAAACATCTCAAACTCGATTTAAAAAAATAAAAAATAAACTTACAGATTCAAAAAGCATGGCAAATCAGAAACAAGATAAATTCAAGGAAAATGACATCCAGACACATCATAGTTAAATTGCTCTAAATCAAAGATGAAGAAAAATATTTGAAAGAAGCTAAAAAAAAAAAAATGCATTATTACAGATTTCTTACCAGAAGTTAAAGAGACCAGAAGAGAAGGAAACTACATGTTTAAAGTGCTGAAGGAAAGGATCTAGTAATGCAGAATTGTAGATCCAGTGAAAATATCTTTCAGGAAATGAAGGCAAAATGAAGACATTCTTAGATGAAGAAAAACTAAGAAAATTCTCTGCCAATGAATCCGCTAAAGGAAGTTATTCAGCTCAATAGAAATGACACCAAAAAGAAACTTGGGACTTAAAGAATGAAGAAGGAGCAACAGCCTCATCTGTGAGTAAAGATGAGGTGACCCGGCAAGGTGGCTCATACCTAGTAATCCCAGCACTTTGGGAGGCTGAGGCAGGTGGATCACCTGAGGTCAGGAGTTCCAGACTAGCCAGGCCAACATGGTGAAATCCTGTCTCTACTAAAAATAGAAAAATTAGCCGGGCGTGGTGGCGCATGCCTGTAATTCCAGCTACTCCAGAGGCTGAGGCAGGAGAATAGCTTCAACCCAGGAGGTGGAGGTTGCAGTGAGCCTAGATCATGCCACTGCTCTCCAGCCTGGGTGACGAGAGTGAAACTCCATCTCAAAACAACAACAACAAAAGATGAGGTAATTTTCTTTCTTTAAGTACTTCAAAATATGTATGGCTGTTGAAAGGAAAAAATGTATGGCATTATCCGGTGGTGGAGGGCTAATATATGTAGATTTAATACTATGACAATCATAAAGGAAAAGTCAGTGGGTGAGATTTAATGGGCATCTATAAATGTAAAGATTTTACATGAATGATAAAAAGTTAACTCTTAAATAAACCATGAGTTGCTAGGTATGTGTGTTGTAATCATGAGAATAATTACTTTAAAACACAGAGATATCCAAATGCTAATAGAGAAATCAAAATGGAGGCCAGGCACAGTAGCTCACGCCTATAATCCTGGCACTTTGGGAGGCCAAGGCAGGTGGATCACTTGAGGTCAGGAGTTTGAGACCAGCCTGGCCAACATGGTGAAACCCCGTCTCTACTAAAAATACAAAAAGCCAGGTGTGGTGGCGCACACCTGTAATCCCAGCTACTCAGGAGGCTGAGGCAGGAGAATCGCTTGAACCCTCAAGGGGAGGCAGAGATTGCAGTGAGCCGAGATTGTGCCATTGCCTGGGCCCCAGAGCGAGACTCAGTTTCAAAAAAATAAATTTTTAAAAAATTTAAAATTTCAACTAATATTTTAAAAAGGCAGGAAAAGGAAATGAAGAAAAACTGGGAGAGAGAGAGAGTAAGAAAGGCAGAGGGTAGGGGAAAAGGCATGCAAATTAGAAAGGAAGAAATAAAAATGGTTCTATTCAGAGACAACATGATTGCTTATGTAGAAAAACCACCAAAAAAATCTACTAGAATAAGTGAGGTTTACAAGTTCAAGGGTATATACACAATTTCTATATGCTAACAACAGAAAATTAGAAAATATTTAAAAGCAGCACTATTCATAAATGCAGTAAAAAACATAAAATACTTAGGTATAAGGGTAATAAAATGTGGGAACTGAGAGCTAAAAACTAAAAAATAATAATGAAAGAAATAAACAAAGATTTAAATAAATGGACAGGTATACCATGTTTATGGATTTGAAGACTCAATACCATTAAGATGACAATACTGTCCAGCTTTTCTATGGATTCAATACAATCCTAATCAAAATCCCAGCAGGATTATTTGTAGAAATTGACAACCTGTTTTCAAAATGTATGTGGAATGGTGAAGGAACTAGAAGAGCCAAATTTGTTTTGGGAAAAAAAGGGACAAAGTTGGAGAACTCACACTACCTGATTTTAAGGCTTACTATAAGTTTACAGTAATCAAGAGCATGTGGTACTCGTGAAATCAATGGAACAATACAAAAAGTCTAGAAGTAGTTCACACCTGTGGTGAATAGATTTTTGAAAAACGGAAAAAAGGCAAGTCAGTGGTGCTGGAACAGGTGGACATTCATATGCAAAAAAAGAAAAAAAAAATGCCTTGGCCCCAAACCCACAATTTGTAAAAATTAACCCCAAATGGGTCACAGTCTTAAATATAAAACTTAAAGCTAGGAAAAAAATAAGAGAAATTTTTTAGAGTTAGAAAAACTTTTCTTAAACACAACATCAAAAACTATGATTGTAAAAGGAAAATAATGGATAATACAGGGTTCATCAAAATTAATTTCTGCTCTGCCAAAAAACAGTTAGGAGAAGGAAAAGACAAGTTACAGGCTGGGGGAGAATATTTGGAAACCACACACATTCTTGAATCCAGAATTTATAGAAAACTGTCAAGCCTCAATTAAGCAAACAGACAACCCGATACAAAATAGGCAAAAGATTTAGAAGACACTTCATTAAAGAAGATATATGCAGATTAAAAAAGTATATGAAAAAATGCCTCACATTATTATTCATTAGTGAAATGTCAATTAAAATCTCAATGTTATATCAGTACACACCTATTAGAATGCCAAACAGAACAAAACTGACCATACTAAGTGCTGGCAACAGCATGAACCAAATGGACCTCTCATACACTGTGGGTGAGAATGTAACCTGGCACAGCCACTCTGGCAAAGTCTGACAATTTCTTATGAAGTTCAATATAACATCTTATTGACCCAGCAATCCCACTTCTACCTATTTATCTAAGATAAATTGAAACATGTTCACATCAAAACTTGCCAAGAATATCTATAGCAACTGTATTCATAATCACCAAAATTGAGAATAACCCCATGTCCATCAACAAAGAATAACAGATGCATTCATACAACGGAATATTAACCTGCAGTCAATAAAAGGAATGAATTTCTGATACTCATTACAGCATTCATAAACCTCAAACGCATAGGCTAAATGAAAGTAGCCTTAGTGAAAAGGCTACATACTGTGACTGACTACAAGGGAGCAGCAAAAGAAATGTCCAGAATAGGTAAACATACAGGGACAGAAAATAAATTAATAATTGCCAAAGCTTGGGGAGGGATATTGGGGGAAATGGGGAATGACAGCTAACTGCTATGGGTTCCTTTTGGGGCTGACTAAATGATCTAAAATTGATTGTGGTGGCTGTGCCACTCTAAGAATATAATACAAAACCCTGAGTCACACACTGTGAATGAGTGAATTGTTTAGGATGTGAATTATATCTTAATAAAGCTGACTTAAATTTCTTAATGAATGATAAAATGAATAAATATGAATTATTTTCAAAATTCCACAACACTAAAATTTTAATTTTTTTCTGGAAAGGATTATGGGGATGGGGTGCTTAGTCCTCACATTAGCAGGTGAAAGTGTAGATTCTGTCCAGCCACTTGGTCGAGTAGGAATAGTGAGTGGGCAGTCAGTATCAGCCTTCAAAAACGAAGTACACATAGGGTTTCCAGATAAAATGAAGGGAGCCCAGTTAAATTTAAATTTCAGACAAATAGTAAATAATCTTTTAGTATAAATATATCCCAAATATTGTATGTATATATCCCAAAGTTGTATGACTACAACTAAAAACTTATTCTTTGTTTACCTGAAATTCAAATTTAAATGGCCATCTTGTATTTTTATTTGCCAAATCTGGCAACTCTAGGAACTCATTTACTATTTCAAAAAGTGTGTTATCTTAGAAAAAGTATGGATAATCAGCTGGGTGCGGTGGCTCATGCCTGTAATCCCAACACTTTGGGAGGCCGAGGTGGGTGGATCACTAGGTCAAGAAATGGAGACTATCCTGGCCAATATGGTGAAACCCCGTCTCTACTAAAAATACAAAAACTTAGCCGGTGTGGTGGTGGGCGCCTGTAGCCTCAGCTGCTCAGGAAGCTGAGGCAGGAGAATCACTTGAACCCGGGAGGCGGAGGTTGCAGTAAGCCAAGATTGCGCCACTGCACTCCAGCCTGGCAACAGAGGGAGACCCGGTCTCAAAAAAAAAAAAAAAAAAACTTGATGAGGCACATGTATTTTTAGTGTTGTGGTGTGTTATGCAAATGCAATTTGAAAAAGCCATTTGCATTTTCTTTCTTATGTATAAAATACATTTTGCTTCTAAAATGAAGTAACCTGAAGGGATAATGTTTGATGAGTATATTTCATATTTATTTGATTAAAATTGAGTTCAATGAATCTGCATAATTGCTGCAAATGTAACTTGAAGGACATTTGGAGCATTGTTGGTTTTCTGCTTTTTTTGTTATTGAGTGAATGGGGATGATAGGAAGTCTCATTTATCGCATGAGCTGTTGAAATATAGAGATCTATATACGTTTTAGGTGATACAGAATCCATATAATGTTCTCATCTCTACTTTACTTGCCTCAAAATTCAATTTTTGTCTTACATTTTGTGAAACTAAACAGAGAAAACTTGTGTTCTTCAAAATGACAAAATTTCAGTGGTAGTGAAAACTGTCATACTTTTCCTATCAATTCCTAAGTATGAATTTTACCTCACTTATAATTTGCCCAGTAATAATTTTCTAGAGACACTGTTAAAATTCAAATGATGTGTTTTGAATGGTGTATGTTGTTTCTTTATTTTAAAACTTATTTTATAATTTTAGGAGCCTCCATCATTGAAGCTGGGACCTCAGAAAGTTACAAAAATAATAAAGCAAAATTGTACTGGCATGGGATAAGTTTCCTAAATCATGAAATGCCTCCAGATATTATTCTTCAGGTAAAGCTAAATTAAGAATCACTTATTTCTATTTTAGAATTTTGTTCTTATTATTTATCATGAAAATGTTAATTTTAAAATAGAGGCAATATAAGAGTGTCCGAACTTGTTACAAAACCTGAAATCATCTCATTACATTTTTTATAGTCAGTACACTGCATGAATTATGTCTTATTTTATGGTTAGTAAACTATGATTAATTATTTACTTATCATTTTAAGATTAGTAAACTAGATTATTTTATTCTCAAATAAAACATATACATTCCGTGTCTTTTCTGTAAGTTGATTCTGTGACCATACTTTTCCATTGAAAACTTCAGTCATTCAACGAACATTTGTTGAAAGTACTTGTCTGCTAAGTGCCAGTACTGTACTGTGTTAAGTGCTATTCAGACCACATGTTCTTAAGTCTAATTATAACAGGAGAAATCTCCAAGTAAGATCCCCACCAAACTTTTCAGTTACATTCTAAAGGCAGTAGCCATCAACAGACAGCAGAGCACCTCTCAACTTTGATCCATACACCTGAAGTTAGTCGCAAATTTGGAACTTTCAGGGGTAAAACCCATTGATCTTATTCCAGTCTGTAGTTTATATCTACAAAGTAGTAGACCTCATTTTTCTTCTCTATCACCATAATCACCACCACCACTCCCACCTCCATCAACACCCTCATCTTCGTCACCACCACCACCACCATCTTTCTTCATCACAGCCTCCATGTCCATCACCATCACCACCACCACCATCACCATCACTGCCACCACAGCCACCATCACTGCCACCACATCACCATCACCACCACCACCATCACCATCACTGCCACCACAGCCACCATCACTGCCACCACCACCGCCACCTCCATCACCATCTTTCTTTATCACCACCCCCATGTCCATCATCATCACCACCACCAATGTCACTGTCGCCACCACCACCACCACCATCACTGCCACCACTACCACTACCTTTATCACCACCTTCACCACTACTACTTCAATTATCACTATCACTATCACCACCACTACCATTACTACCATCACCATTACCTCTACCACCACCACCATTGCCATGACCACCATTGCCATCACCATTACCACTACCACCATCATCATCACCTCCACTGCCACCATTATTACCACCATCATCACCACAATGATCACCACAGTGGTCACCACCATCATCCTCACTACCACCATCACTAGCCTTACCAGCACCCCACTCATGCCCTCTAGCTGCCTTATAACAGGTTACAGTCTAGTTAGAGCAATGAAAGAAAACATACTCATATGATAAAAGACTCTGATTGATATGAGCATACAGTGCTCTGGAAGAGCAACCACACTAGAAGTGTCTTGGGAGTTTTCCTATTTTATAGGCATAAGAGAGATCTGCAGTCAATAGTGATTAGCTGATCAGTATTATGTGAATGGATTCACATAATTAGTTAAGAGATTAATTCAGTGTTTTCTTTCCAGCCGGATGTCTACCCTGGAAATTGCTGGGCTTTTCCAGGTTCCCAGGGTCATACCCTAATCAAGCTTGCTACAAAGATCATACCTACTGCTGTTACCATGGAGCACATCTCAGAGAAGGTGTCTCCCTCAGGAAACATCTCCAGTGCACCCAAGGAATTTTCTGTCTATGTAAGAAGCTATCTAAATTTGTCATTCAGATTGGCCTGATAGAAGGTGGTTGGCTGGGAATTAGGGGCTGTCCTCTGAACTAGGACAGATAACTAGTTGTGTCACTTATTTCCTGGACTTTAGCTTTCTCACCTACAAAGAGAGAGAGTTGGACCAAATGATTTATATTATTCAACTTTTTTTTACTTTTATCAAAGTTATACATGTACATGTAAAAATCAAGTATTTCCATAAAGTTCGTAAAGAAATAGTTATTCCTTGTCCCACTTCTCCACATCTCCAATTCTCATTATTCCAGAGCTTCTACTTGCAACAATTTTAGATGTTTATTTGGGTACTTGCCTCCATGTTGGCTTTTACCATTACTTCTTCATTTTTCAGTTTTGGTTATAACATCCTCTCATGGAAAGTGAAGAGTAGCTCTTTTCCATGGCACTTCCATCCTCCCAACATGTTTATGTCTTGATTTAAAAAACAAAACATGTTTCTGGAGATATAATTCCCATAACAATTAATTCACCCACTTAAAGTACACCCTTCAGTGGCTTTTAGTATATTCACAGAGTTGTGTATCCATTACCATAATCAATTTTAGAACATTTTTCTTACCCTAAAAGGAAACCCCATACTGCTTAGCCGTCACCTCCTATTCCCCTAGTGTACTCCTCCAACCCCTGGCAACCACTAATCTACTTTGTCTCAATAAATTTACCATTCTATGCATTTCATATAAATTGAATCATTTATAATGTGTGATCTTTTGCAAATGGCTTAACTTAGCATACTGTTTTCAAGGTTCATTTATGATATAGTATGTCTCAATATTTCATTTATTTTTTATTGCTGAATAACATTTCATTGTATGGATATATGACATTTTATTTATCTATTCATCAGTTGATGGATATCTGAATTATTTTCATTTTTTTGGTCATTATGAATAATGCTTCAATAAACATTCATGTACAAGTTTTTGTGTGGACATGAGTTTTTGTTTTGCTTGGGTGTATACCTAAGACTGGAATTCCTAGATAGCATGGTAAATGTAGGTTTAACATTTGAGGCACTGCTAGAAGACTGTATTATCTTTTTGTTCAAGCAATACTCAATGTTTTCACGGTGACTATGTGAACAAAACAGCTCTCAGTTGAACTATTTAGTGTACATAAATACTACTTTCTTCCATTTTTTTTATGTTTCTGAGTGTAACAATTGCTTTACTTTTTTTTTTTTTTTGCTTGAGACAGGGTCTCAGCTCTGTCGCCCAGGTTAGAGTACAGTGGCACAATCACAGCTCACTGCAACTTCAAACTCACGGGATTGTTTTTTAAGTCTTTTAGTAGAGATAACGGTCTCACTATGTTACCCAGGCTGGTCTCAAACTCCAGGGCTCAGGGGATCCTCCCTCCTTGGCCTCCCACAGTGCTGGGATTACAGACGTGAGCCACAGGTGCCCAGCCTATTTTTCTTTAATTTGCTTAGTTTTTCTGTATTCCTATTACTAAAACTTTCCCAAATTCTTCTTCAGAAGTACAAATATTCCCCCATTATGTTGATTCACATGAGATAATTTATAAATTTCTTCCATTCTTTATCCCTTCCTTCATTTTCTATTCATTTATTTTCTTTTTTCTTTTTCCCCGAGATATCCCTCTGGCGCCCTCAGCGTTTTGCTCCAGCCTTGTTAGGTAGGCCTGATGCACAACTGTTGTCATGGGATTTCATGCCTGCATCCTGAGGATTCAACTTATTGTCTAATTTATTATTTTTAAAAAGTGTTTATTTCCCTTTTCTGTTTTTTGTTCCACCTGCTGGAAGATCATATCAATTCATATTTTAACCCCTCTATGGAAATTTTCATTCCTGCTGTCATGATTATACTTTCTGAGACTTCTTGTTTCTATACATATTCCCTTTTTTAGAGCCTATATTTTTTTTCTTTTATGAAGGCAGTACCTTCTCTTACGCTTCTGAAGATATTAACTGTAGGTTTGTCTCACTTTCTTCTGCTCGCTTCCGGGTCTGGATTTCCTAGCCCCCACTTTTCCCCCTTGTGCGTATGGTCTGTTTCCTGTACAACGCTTTTCTCCCATGTCTGTGATGCTTGCCACATGAATTGCTAGGCGGTGCAAAGCCAGCAGGAAGCTTTGCGCGCACGTTTGCGCTCACGGTGGGGCTTATATGTCGTGAGTTTGCCCCGGGAATCATCAGGTCAGGCCATTTCGTTGGGAGTCACAAGTGTGCCATCAGGAGAGTTGACCCTGAGAGGACTCCTGCAGTGCACAGGAGGTACCAGCCTGGCCAACTACACCAGGAACTGCTGGGGAGAGGAGGGCCGCGGGGCCACCACTTTGTGCAGGAGTCATGCTCTTGTGGGCGGTTCTGGGGCGGTGCAGGCAGTGGTCTTAGAGACGGGAGGAAGAACAGAGCCCTCTGCTGGGCCAGGCGGGGCTGGAGGGGCGTGGAGGGGTTGTAACTGCTTTTTGAAATGACTGTCAGCTAAACCGCAGATTCAGGCTCCTTTCCCCCACACCTCCCCGCCCCACGTGGACTCCCTCTTCCGGCCTTTCTGGGAACCTGCCGCTTAAGTCCTGCGCTGCTGGTTCCACCTACAGCCAGAGTAGTTTGTGTTCTTTCTCTCCAGCTGCCATTTGGTCATCTTCACTTTTTGGTGTTTGTTTCTTTCTTTTTGTTTTTGTTTGTTTTGGTTTGGTTTGGTTTGGTTTTTGGTTTTACTGTCTACTCCTACTTTTGCCTTATAGGTTTATGCCTTACTTCAATTATTTGACCTTCCCATCTGGAGGAGGGCCCCGGGTTAAACAGCCTGCCTTACATGCCACCCAAATGCCTCTACATTCCACATGTGGAGTTTCACAACAAAGGGCTGCTGTCCTTTCATAGAAGCCCGCACCACCTGCAAGTGGTGTCTGAAAAGTTGAGTTTGAGCAGCTAAGTTCCATCTCAGAAAGGTGAACATATTCATTGTTTAGAAAACTTATGGGTGAATCCCAAAGGCAGGGATCCTTTAGTAATAAAAACTGCTTCTCATTATTTTCTTCTACATTAGAGAATTTATGAAACAAGTAAAATCAAAACAATGTGATAAAAGGGCTGGGTGCAGTAGCTGCTCCTGTGATCCCACCTCCTTAAAAGGCTAAAGCAGGAGGATCACCTGAGCCCGGGAATTCGAGGCCAGCCTGGGCACCATGGCCAGACCCCGTTTTTTTGTTTGTTTGTTTGTTTGTTTTTCTTTTAACTTTTATGTTAGGTTCAGGGATATATGTTCAGGTTTGTTATATAGACAGTAAGTAGTAATACCCAACAGGTATTTCTCTGCTCCTCTCCCTCCTCCCACCCCCCCACCCTCAAGTAGATCTCAGTGGCTATTGTTCCCCTTTGTGTTCATGTGTTCTCATTATTTAGCTCCCACTTATAAGTGAGAACATAGGTATTTGTTTTTCTGTTCCTGTGTTAGTTTGCTATGGATAATGGCCTCCAGCTCCATCCATGTCCCTGCAAAGGACATGATCTTGTTCTTTTTTATGGCTGCATAGTATTCCATCAGATCTGTTTCTTAAAAAAAAAAAAAAAAAGGAGGTGATAAAGAAGGTAAAAATAAAACTAGCACTCCTCTCAAGCTAAAGAGAATATATGAGGCTTGAGTCATATATACATATATAATTGTCAGTACATTATGTAACCATGATGTATCCAACTCTTTTAATAAAAAGTTATAGTTTGATATTAATATTTTTATTATAAAATGATTTAACGAATGTACTCTTTATTTTGCTGTCTTACTACAATTTAAGGAACCTAACAATAAACTTCAGATTCACGTAATGAATTAGTTTGCAGCAGTGCATTCTCCTCTCACAAATCTTCAATTTGAAGGGTTGAGAGGAAGAACAAAAAGCACAAAAGAAATTACATACAAAGAAAAAATCAGTGTTTTTATCAGTCAACAGAAGCTTACTTTTTAGAGGAAATTATTTGTGTGATCAAAATCTAGCAATTGGCCTATGTTTATCTCATTTTGGAAAACATCAGTTCAATATGGGGACCCATTTTTATTTTATTCAAAGTATGCTTATTGCAAATGCAGTTATTAGACCAGAGTTAATGCTGGGATTTTCTCTACATGTATGTATCTGTCTTTCATCTATCAGTTGTTTATCTATCAATCATCTATCTTTCATCTGTCTTCTATCTATCTATCTATCTATCTATCTATCTATCTATCTATCTATCTATGTGTCCATCCATCCTCTGTCCTTCTAGTCAGTCCCGTGATCAGCCTTTGGCCTCACTGGTCCCTTGTTAAATGCCCTCTGGGTGCATAGATTAGTACTGGCATGATCACAGCACTGTGCCCCAGTGGACATCAGAGATATCTGGTGAATTATTTCTTCTTTTTGAAAACACAACTGTATCCAATCATTACAATCTCTATATCTGTTGCTTTCTTTATAGGGCATCACAAAAAAATGTGAAGGAGAAGAAATTTTCCTAGGTCAGTTTATATATAACAAAACAGGAACCACCGTTCAAACATTTGAACTCCAGGTAATGTGTGCCCTGGGAAATGATATAAGTAGCTCTATCACTGGAAGAAATTTGTTGGGATTGCTTCCTGTAAAGTGATGTATGAAAATAATTATGACAAAAGCATGAGTTACACAAGGCTTATCTGAACTTCATTTCTTAGCTCCAAGTGCTTACAAGGATTTTAATGCAAAAGACAGACAAATGCAAAACCAGTTTCTAAGTCAAATTCTTCCTCACCTGCTATCACTTTTTTATAATATATATATTTAATTTCTCGGTTCTTTCTCAACTACTCCATTCCCTGAATATTATTAAGTGTAATAGTTACTACCTCACCTTGCTTGAGTATAGGGGAGGAGGATGATGGTACAATATGAAGTGGACAGAGGCAGAGAGAAGCTCAAAGGAAGAGTGGATAAAGATTTAATATCAGATAATACAAGTAAAACTCCTAATCCAATGGGGGAAAATATCAACTGTTAACTTATAAATCCCCTGAAACTCGCCAAGACATATGAAATAAATACTCATTTTTTTAATTAGCCACAGGGAGTAACTGAAGAGACGTAGAAGACATTTTATATCATGTAAAACCAAGTGTTTTATGACACTTTTTTT